GATAGTTTTAATTCCCTCTATAGCGAAAAAAAATAGTTATTGCATGTAAAGTAGAGCACTGATTGTTTAACGCAGACATTTGGGAACGGGCCATGAACGTCGTCATATAAGGTGACAGAGTATTCTCTGATGCCTAAAATCCTTAAATGTAAGGTGATCTTTCAACTAATTTAATTCTGACTAAAATTTGAAGCTGCATCAGTAAACAGACAGTAGTGAATTTAAATTAGTTCCTTAATCAAGAGTGGTTTTTCACTATAAAAATATTCATTTGGACGTTCATAGCCTCATGTGAAGCGGAAAAAGGGACCATGACGTTATGAGAGATTAAATTACGCTTTCTTTCGTGCGCCGATGTACACTTATATGGTTTCTTTATTTTTTCATAGTTTTCTTATTAAATGTGGTATCGTCATGAAACTTGAAATGCATGATCATAAAATGATACTCTTTGCTATGATAAGAAAAGAAATTTGATTTAGCAAAGAGAAAACTAAATTGTTTTCCCTGTCTACGACATTTTGGTACAACCCTCGTATACATCCAGCATGTAATGATTGTTTTTAAAAAACTCAAAAGATTAATTGATCGTCTTACTAATGTATATACTGATAACTCCTACAAATCCATACCAATCAGAACAATTATCTAATTATGTGAAATATTAAAAGCAATTACTTTTTTCTAATTATATTTTCCTGAAAATGATTTTTAATGATATTTACATAAACAAGACCAGGGTCCGTTTCTTTACTGTAAAATTGTGTCCTTACAACACTACAAGCTGATTGTAAGTACTGGAAACTATTATACTACTAATTAAGTATACAAATAAATAAATTACTCTAATAGATACACTCTCTTTACACCTTTAAGGTAATCCAAGAGGGGTGGGGTTTTTTTATTTTGTAATAAAACTTGCCAGGATTTTCTCTCTTTTTAATGCTTTCATACTTTAAAACGAATATTCGAATCATAAATTTATTTTCAAATATCAACTCATCGAATGAATATTCGAATATTCGTTGACATCCTTATATATAAGAATTGATAGCTTGACATAATGGTGATATTGATGTTATATTTGAAAGTAAAAAATAAAATTATTGTGTGTAATTTCTTACTGCATAGTAATATTTTGTTCTGAGAATAGTGTTATAATCACACTGTCTAAAACGATGATTGCATTCACATTAGTATATGATAATTTTTTGTCTTTATATTATTATTTGTCATTTGAGGATTATGGTTATTTTTCTTTTTATTATTAATCTTACAGTATTATTAAATATGTGAATATTAAAGAAACTGTGTATCTTTATATACGCCTTCTATTTAAAATACTGACCCCGTGAATGGCCAGACAATAGGGAAAACCTTTATCATAAACTTTTATTCATCGGTGCATAACTTTGTTTCTTGTATTATTATGTTTGACCTACTTATTAATTTGAAAACCTTGGCCATAACTTCTGAACGTTAAAGACTTGGGCTTCCATACCTTACATACGCAATCCTTGTGGCAAGACTTTTCATTAGATACCAATTATCTTGACATTTTGACCTTGACCTTGGAGATTTCCGTAATTATGAAAAATAACTTTGACCTTGGCCATAACTTTTGAACGCCAAGGGCTAGTGATCTTATGTTATACATTTGTAATCCTCGTGAAAAGACCCTTCATTGGACACCAAGCTTTCCAAACTGATGATTTTTTTTTACCCTGGCCTGATTTCATATTTTAGAGCTGTATTTTCAGTGAGTTTGCATTCAAGAAAAGTTTTAGTTTCGCTATTTTGTTGCCTCATTGTTTCACAAATACATCTTCTTGCTTTTGTAGTAAACTCTTTCTCTTTCCTCTAATCTATCTCATTCATCGAAAAAAAAAATCACTTTAGATGTATTAAATCGGAATGTTTATTTGGTTTTCAGTCTTTTGTTTTTATACTACCATGCAAAATATTCATTTCTTTATCAAGCTATCGCCTTCATTTGGGGTCTTTATTTACAGAAAATACCGCCCTTATGACATACGCCTTAAAATATTCCGACAAAACTATATTAAATCCGTAAATCTTATTTTAATAAACACAAGCTTAATTTCATGTATGAATGGAATCTCTACTAAATTTGGCCAATGCGTCTTCATGTACATCAATCTTTTCGCGTGACTTGTTTAAAAGAAAAAGAAAAAAACGGACCAGAGGAACGTAAACCGAAAATTGTTGAGAACATCTCAACGCCGGTAATTATATAAAATTTAGTAGTCTTTTACTAATCCTTGTTCCTTATAATTATCTTAATTGAGAGGAAAAACAAAATCTACGGAAATGAACTTCAGTATACAACTGCCCACCACAACTTTTGTAAATAATAGGAACAAAAGCTAAGCCAAAATGTAACGTTCGCAGTACTGTTAGGCTTCCCGGAGCTTAAAATGCGTTTAAAACGTAACACTGCATTGCAAAGCTGATTTTGATTTCTATTTTTAAGTTATATACTTAAGAACGCCCAATTATATAGAGAGTTCTCTTGGTTTAATATCAACATATTTGTTACGATGTCACATGACCGTGTTGATCACGTGACTGCATTTCTTCTCTTTTGGAATGTTTCACATAAATCGCTTCGGCACAGGTTATTAACACAATTATTGTTAACATTTTGTCACATACATAAAATCGTTGCATCCTTGTGAACAATACATAACAGCTCAAGTATGCAGTGACTTTACGTCATTTTCAATTATGACATCATACTTTTGTAGTTCAGAGAAGTGCTTGCACAGAGTACACTACAATATTCTCTGGGAAGCCTTATCTTACCTGCGTTTGAGATTTTCGAGGGGTTTTTCCTGTAATTGTAGTTTGTTTATTTATAAAATATTAATATTTCAGCTTTATACATGTATGAAGCCTATTAGTTTTCAATTTAACTGTAAAATATTGATGAATGTATTAAATAATATATGACTCTAGTTAAGTCAGACCATGATAAACAAATTTTGATTTTCATACTTATAATATTCAATAATTACTTGATCTCTATTTAAAGTACAGAGAAATAATGTGTTTAACTAGTCTATGACGTCATCGCAGTCAGTTCAGCGAGATCAAGGTTGTTGTTTTTTTGCTTAAATTCTACATTTAATAAGTGTAATGCAAAAATAAGTTTCACAAAATATAATTGGTAGGATGTTTAAATATGCCCTAGACTGCTGGAAGTTACACATTCATTTATGTTTATAATATTTATGAGACATTACTTAAGGAAGAGTGTATGAAAGAAAACTAGTATTTATTTGCCGAGATTCATCTGTACAGTTTAACCATGACGTCATAATCAATTTCCTTAGGCCCTGCATAGACTAATTTACCTATATTGGAGTAAGAAGGATAACCCAACTGCGAAAAAAATATTATTTACACCTTTTCTAGAAGAATCTTGATATAATGAATTTAGTTTCAATAAAATGTCAAAACCGCAGATTGTCAAACTTGTTTTACTCATTGTCGTTAGAAAAACATTTTTCTGATTAAGCAGAGTATCGTGGCTTCGTTTAAGGACTCCTTTTACATCCTCTCATTAACTGAAATCTTAATTATTATACATCTCTAACCTAAAATTTGTTATCTTTGTGGCACACTGTAAATACTTACAATTAATGTACATTTAAAATAGCATTTTAGTTTTGTTTAAGGTATATAAAACCATCTGGTGGATGAATGCTGTGCCTGTCCGAGTTGGTTTTTTTCTTAATTTTGTGTTATTCCTTCAAAACAACACCCTTTTACATTCAGACACTTTTGCAATCTGCATACCCATGATTTGAAAGCCCATAGATAGTCTCCCCTTGGAAATACTGTCTAAGCACTGATAAACAGCACTAGTGCTACCAACTACACTGCACAAAGTATAGCGACGTCCAAATAACATTTGTTTCAGTCGTAATAGGAAAAAATCACAAGGACTTAGGTCTGGAGAATACGGGGGATGTTGGAGCTGAACAACCTTTTCATCCTTCAAAAAACTTTGAACCGTTTTACTCTTATGAGCCGGAGCATTGTAATGAATGAGCTTTGTGTTCTTTAAGCCTGTCTTTTCCTTTCATATACTTTCTTAATTTTTTTTCAGTACATTATTTTTGTAAAATTGTCCTGAGATACCTCTACCTTGCGGAGTTGGAATTTTCACAACTTGGCCACTAGAATTAAAGAAAATAGCATACGTAATCTTCACTCTGACACCTTTTGCCAATGAAAGGATACTCGCTATTCTTCCTTACCCACATCATATTGTTAATTTTTTCTGTGCGGCTCAAAAAGTAAATCCAAGTTTCATCACCTGTCAGCAAATCAGAAAATTTTCTCCTGTCACAGTTTTTATAATTATTTTACAGTTTTCTAGCAAAGAGGGTGTTGCAGTTCTTTTGTTATTTTCCCCTAATGTGTAGCAGATTAAAATAAGAATTTTTATGATGCAGAAACTCATGTTCATTTTTTTTCAAATGCATCAATATATAAAGCACAACGACAAATATTATTTGGAAGGTGTGTATTGAATTGTAATTTGCCATTAAATGATGTGAGAATTAGTCTCACGGCAAAATATATCAGATTTTCCGTTTTTGATTAATAAATCCCAATTGTGAAAAAGTGCCACCTTGAAACAAAATAATTATGATATATACACAAAGAGGCAGGAATTTTCTTCAAGACTGTCATTTCCGATTTTTGTTTCAAAGAGGCACAGTTTTAATATAGCACCAACAGTGTGATTATGGGACGCAGTTTTATTTCACGAAAATTATTTTCGCACAATGTCAACAGTATATCTTTCAAATTGTTGCTTTAGGCATTGTGCATTTTGTTGTCCCAACCTTTTTCGTGTAAAATGACGAGAGTGTTTTGCTGTATCAAGCAGGAAATACCTGCCATAAACATAGTCCTCTACGTAGTGTATCTATATTTAAACATAACGAGGGTATTTAAAGTCCTTCGCGATATACGCGTATAGGGAATAATCGCAAGTTTCTGCATTGCTCTCTTTCAAACGCGTTGTCTTTTGTTCTGGTGTCAAGAGATGCGGTATCCATCGTGCACATACTTTACGTCTGTTGAGGTGCTTGGTCAAAATTTCGTGTACCTTTGCTGATGAGACACCAACAACACTGGCAAGATATTTTAGAGTATATTTACCATCTTCCCCTGCCATTTTCTTAACTGCAGCCACGGTTCCATCAGTAACAGCTGTCTTTGGTTGTCCAATTCTCGAAGAATCTTTAACGACGTCAACGTCATTCTTAAAAATTTTCAACTAATGACAAACTGTGCTTAACGAAACTGCAGAATCTCCATTAATTTGACAAATTTTATTCAAGACTATTGTTGCAGGTATATTAAGAATGCCTTTCTCTTTTTATATAGGTTCTTATTTCAGCCTTCACTGCCGATTTCATATCACTTGGAGAACATGTTCAGTGTGTACGACTACCCTTTCTACTTTTGTATGTAACTTTTGAAATAGTGAATAAATCGATAAGAAATTTTAAATAAGCACAGGTAATGAATGTATCTACCTGTGCGTGACATCGGTTTTGATCATCTAGGAAGAATATCGATGGAATAACATTACTTGCATTATTTTTGGATCGCCCCTCGTATTGGTAAATTTTCATCTTCCGTGTTTAGGACTTTATATAAAGCTATGGAGTTTTTCAAGAATTGATTTATTTCAAAAACACCTTCGTTAAGACAGCAACAAAAATTTAAACATGGCAAATGTATGGACAGTGATCCTTGCTTGGAGTTTCTTGTGTACAAGTTCTCAGAAAATTTACTCGGAAGAAAACAATCGCTGTGCCAGTGATGGAGAGACAATGATGCAAATAGGAGAATTTCTGATTCAGCAAGGGAGGTTGCAGGAATCTTTAGATTCCCTCAGACAGATTATTAAAAGACTCGAGGAAGATGTAACCAAGATCAAGAGTGGTAAATAAACCTGTCTTTCTATCTAAAAAAGTTTTACTTTGAATTTTTACTCTCTCTCTCTCTCTCTCTCTCTCTCTTTCAATGGATCGATGTTTGTGTATTCATTGATACAATATCAGTAATTATTTTTTAATTTATATTCAGGCTTAAAAATAAATTCTGACTGTCGGAATATCTTTTTTGCCGGACACAAGCAGTCTGGGGAATTTTATATAGATCCATTTGGCAACGGAAGCTACGTCACAGTTTACTGTGATATGGAGACTGACGGAGGAGGGTGGACAGTAAGATCTCTCTCTCTCTCTCCCTCTCTCTCAAAATAAAATTTACTCTTAGGTTTATAATAATATAAGTTCATTCTCCTCGTCTCTGTCTTTTTTTACTCAATCTTAACCTACTCTTTCTAGTTCTCTCCTTCTATCTCTCTCAAATTAATTTTTACTTTAAATATATAATAAACTGAGTTCAATACTTCTTCAGATTCCTAGTTTTTCCTTTTTGTTGTTTGAGAACTTATATGAATTAGCATGAATTTGGTATTTTACTTCACAACAATACATGTAACTAAGTATTTTTATCATTTTCTGTATGGAGGATATAAAGATAAGGAACATTTTTCAATATCAAAGTTCATAAAACAATACAAAATAGCAGAGCAATCAAGGACCTTCGAAACATCAGAGGTGGGACCAGGTGCCATGGAGGAGTGAGTATCCCCTGCTGACCGGTCACACCCGCCGTGTGGACCCTGTCATGATCGGGAAACAACGGAAAAATCCGCCACCAACCCAGCGCACAAACAATGGACTGTTCTTTAAAAATATATGAGCCTTAAATATAGAAGCATTAAAATTACAGAATCGGTATTCATATTTAAGCCACAGTCTGCATGGATATATTTAATGATTTATTGTATATTGGTTAACATCCATCTCGAGAATTTTCAACTCATATGGGGAAACAACTACTTGCCGGTGGAGAGTTACAAATTTTGTCCAATCCTCGGCACTCAGGGACATTGAGCAGGGAGGAATTTTTATCGTACCAATACATACTGCGACACGGGACCTAGGTTTTTACCGTCTCATCCGATGAACTGATATCCACGTTCCACGATGGAATTCAAACAAGAGACGTAAAAATTAACTCCTTACTTTGCGACTCTAAAGCAGACGCTCTTACCACTGCGCCACGTTTCAGAAAAGAACATAAATAATAAGATGCAAAAAATGATTTTCACTCCATTATTGTGAATATTTTTTCCTCTTGTATTATAGTCAATTCAGAAACGGATTAGCGGTTCTGTTGGTTTTAACAGGACGTGGGAGGAATATAAAAGAGGATTTGGGAACGTAACAGATTCTTACTGGATAGGTAAATATTTCTTGATACAAACCATTTATTTAATAATTAAACTCATAGATTTATTGTATGTTGCTTTCTTAGTTAAAGTAACCTTTTTTATCCTATAACTTATCACAAAGATTGCTGAAATAACATTTGGTTGCATTTATCGAAGTTAAGTGAAATTACTTTTAACTTTATCATGCTAAATTTACTACTTCTTTATCATGGTTATTTTTGCTGATTTAACTAGAACAATAATATAATGCAGGTAATGACGTGATTCATCAGCTGACAAAGGAAGGGAACTCCTCCCTCTGCGTCTCCATTACATTAAGAAACGGTACCACGTTATATGAACTCTATCATCAGTTTTCTATCTCTGACGAATCAGACAATTACAGACTGTGTCTCGGGGGATCAGCTACCGGGACATTGGGTAAATAATATGTGTGACTATCAATAAAGAGACAGAGAAAGATTTCTAAATAGGCCAAAAATACAAGTTCTCTCCAGGAAGAGTCAGCTATTGAAATCTTAGGTAGATGTATTAGATTTATTTTGTGAGTAACCCTGTGATTAAATTTTCATTTCTTTCCAGCTTTCTAAGATTATTAAGGTCTTCTGTCTTCACGGAAGACCTTATAGTGATTCTACTGTTACTATTATTTTTCTGTACATCTAATTTACTGCACGAGATTTCTCAAAGACTACAGAGTGGGTTTTCATGAAATTTACAGGAACAATATGTTGTTATCTGAAGTTATTTCATCCAAGAGATTATTGGGAAATTCGCTTCTGGTGCCAAGTTACGGGAAATTTTCTGAATTAAAGATGACATTTTGTCCGCGGTTAATCTCAGGAACGATAAGAGATATCAATGTAAAACTTTCATGGATGAAAGATACTGATAAGTATTGTCACCAGACTTGGATTGTCACGTCGTAATTATGTTGCTATTATGTGTCAAACTAAAGTATTAATCCCAAGTCTTCTCAAACGTCTTCTATAATTGATTTCGGCTTTTTTTTCAAAGTAAAAAAAGAAAAGACTAAATCTGCTATTGAAATACGATACCTACTATGTTTTGTTTTGCACCATGGAAAGCATATCTTTAATCATTGTTATAAAAATATAGTTTTTCAAGAAACAATACTACAGTATTTAATTTATACAGTAAGTATAAACGTGACCACTGTTTTTCCTATGCACACTTGTGTCATATTAAACTAATAGAAAATACAAATATATATAAAAAAAACTATTGAATATAAATGGTATCTGATTGCTTGACCGTCGTAGAGTGACGCATGCTTTTCGGAGAAACATTCCAATCTTTTCATGAAAATAAATGTAATAATAAATAATAATAAATGTAATTAATTGGGATACTAGTAGTTCACTTTAGGGATACACAGAAAATTAAACAAAGTTTTAAAATTTATAGTTGTTTCACTACTATAGTGTTACGATATAGACTGTGTACAAAGTGTTAATTAAGTAAACCTCTGAAATTAGGATATAAGACATTCTTTTTAAATTTCATTGAAGCTATCACATCTTTAAAATAGAACCTTCCAAGGAAAAGGCGCAAGGAATTATTGCGTTTGGCGCGAAATTATAAATAATGACCCGTCCTTCAGAATTAAAAGACAGATGTATTGTTGCAGAAGTATATGCAAGATACAAGATGATTCAGAGCAATGCTCTTAGCAGCGTAATGATTAGCACACTTGAGAATTTTCACGCTGGCAACCCGATTTCAATCCCTCCTCTGGTGTCCAATTTTTTTTTCATTGTTTCAGCTCGATTTCATGGTGTGTTTTCCCCTTAGAATCTGACGGAAGACCTCTAGTTGCTGGCAACGAAATAGTATCTAGTTTAATTTATACTTTTTAAACCACTTTTTTGCGTAGAGGAAAAATTTAGCTATTTACGATTTTTGTATTTATACATATGATCTCTATCCAATGTCCTTTTATTTTAATGGGTAATTCTAGTATAATAATAATAAAGTTTTTTAAAAAATGAAATATTCTAAAATGGGAATAATACAATGATATCCTATCATTAAAATAGCTGTTTCTTACTCGTAGTTGTAAATATCAATTTATTGATATCATTTTTATTACTGGCAATGATATTGGTGAAAATATAAATTTATATTAAATATAGTATTATCTTTCATAAATTTAAATATTGTAAAAAATGAATGATCTGCTTTGATATAGAAGGCACTATCATATTTTGCATATTTGATTTCTGTAGGTGATAGTATGCTAGACACGCCAGACACTGGTAGAGAAGGAGAAAAAAGAGACCTGTCTGGAATGAATTTCTCTACCCCAGACAGGGATAATGACGGGAATGATAGAGATGGTCGTGCTGGTAACTGTGCTGCTTGGTACGGAGGAGGCTGGTGGTTTAACTTCTGTCACCACGCCTTCCTTAACGGTCCATGGTCCCCGGAAGACTGGTTGCTCCCATGGTGGCCTACAGTGACTGATAATAAACAAATAAAGGAGACCCTCATGATGATAAAACGCCGTTGAATAAGCTACATGATGTGTTAATGATGTGCTGAGATTGACTTTGTTATATCTTATTTTATAGTAAGAGATTGTAAAGGAGTAGTCGGATGAAAAAACCTCACTGACCATGTCATATCATTTATTGACAAATCTATAGTGGAATTTGAAGATATTATTTCTTTGTTAAGTTGCTTTTGTTATTATTGTTATTATCATATTTCTTTAATGACTTCATGTCATTTTAATAATAATCTTATCATATTATCAAATGAATGATTAACATTAAATCTGATTACTTGAAATAAATGAGATGAATTGTAAGTGTTGATCTCCTTGAAAAGTCAGACAATCCTTTTAAAAAATACATTTTTTCGGACGAACAAATATGGGAAGTTGACGATTCTAAAGTTAAAGTCATCATGAGCTCGATTGTTTAATTACCATTAATGTCTTTTAATGTAAATTATCCATATAAAAACATATTTGCTTTGTATTTCTATGTCATTCATTGTGTGGATTACAATTAAAAGAAATTCACTGCAAAAGTAGCTACCATCAAACTCACAATTTTGAGCGCAAGTGCTTTTTTAATTCATCTATCTGATACTTTTAGAATGAAACTGGAACCCCATTTCAGAGAACTAAAATGTTTGTTTAAGTCCAGATTCAAAGGATATTATCAAATCTGCCTCTGATTAGATATGAATACTGACACTTCTTGGATTAAAGAGCACATAAGGAATTTTGAGAAGCCTCTTCCTTGAAAATTTCAAATTTATAGTCCAGACGTATACTATTTACTTATAGATTATATAATTTTGAAAAGTAAAACCTAAAGTCTAGGGTTATATTTAAGATCTAAATAGATTTAATTTTAAAAAGGGATCGTTAAACAAAATACAATTAATTATGCAATCCTTCAGAAAATGAAAACAAAACAATTATTATATCTAAATTGTTGGCATCCTAACATTAGATCGATTTAAAGGGAAAAAAAATTAACAAAAAGTAAATCAAACACTATATCCAGAAAAGAGAATTTCCCCTGACAAACGAATTAATATTTTTTTTAGCGTTTGCCATCACATTTCACCAGCAATTATTACAAATTGATTCTCTCAATTACAAAAATCTAAGTCAATTTTTTTTTTTTTTTTTTTTTATATACATTTTTTAAGGCGCGTTAAATGTCCCCATGGTGAAAATATTTATGTAACTCTTAACGCACTGTGAATTTTTTTTTCAATGTGCGTTGAGTGTGTCCCAAATCTAACGCACTTTGAATTTTTTTTCAAAGTGTGTTGATTTTTCCCCAATTTTAACGCACTTTAAAAACATTTTCAAAATGCGTAATTTTTTCAAAGTGCGTTGCCACAAACCATTCCCTAAATTGGTATAAAGAATGGAATAATCTGTACCTTTGCTTCAAATGTTGCGAATATTTGTAAACATATTTTGATACGACCTCCTCCCCGAGGTTTTAACAAATTTACAAATTTCCAACAATATATGACAATAAAACCACATCCTTCCTTCACTTTCGACCTGAAAGGAAAAGTACATGAATGCAAAACAAACAAGTTCTTTTTTAAAGTCAGGAAAATAACTGTCCAATAAAGACAGAACAAAATTGGTGAAAACAAATTATAAAAATGCTTATTAGTTATTCATTTTGGACAAAAAACGATATCTTGATATAATATTCACTCATATAGGATGGCTGGACAAAAAAAGTAGACAGTTACTTAAAAGAAGATCTCTTACACATCTACGCATAATAATAGACTCTTCTTTAAAACATCCGTTGAGGAAGGTTGAAAAATCAGTACGTGGGGAAGGTGGAGGTTAAAACACTTTCTACATTCATATTAAAATCACAGAATGCATTTTGGGGGATAAGGACTTTTGACTGTTCGTTATCTCCATACATTTCATTGTTGTTCTTTATAAATGTTTTGACGTAATAATCAAAATTATTTTAATGAATGTACAGTACTATATGTCTGACGAGTTTTACTTTCCATACAGGCGCGGATCTAGGATTTTTTTCAAAATAGTGGAGGGATGTAAGTAGAGATGGTTAAAAGGGAACGTACGTTTATATAACGTTAAGCTAATTAATATGATACAGGGATGTAAAATCCCTTTTAAAAGTGGAAGGGGATATATATATATATATATATATATATATATATATATATATATATATATATATATATATATATATATATATATATATATATATATAAGGCACTTCGCCCGAGTATACCCGATAGACCGGACGCATTTCATAGCGGTCCGGATTTCTTTCTTTATTAGTGTTTTTAAAAATTTCCAATTCATCATGTAATTAAGTATGTAAATATCTAGTGTTTAGTAGTTTAGTAGTAGTGCTAGTTGTTTTTGTTTCTCTTTTTCCTTTGTTCTTATGACTTTTTAACTTTTTTCTTTGTCCTGAGGAAGGGACAGGGCGTCCCGAAAATTTGACAATTTTTATTG